TGGGGGGGGGGGGGGGGGGTGGGCGGGAGGGTGAAACAAGTCGTGGAAACTTGGATTTGCAAAACCATATTGAGAACCAAAAAATATTTACCTATCTTTAGTTTTTATACAAATTTGAATTTGTCTACATAATGATGTTTTTAAGGTGAGTGTAGCAGTACGTGCTGAATGATCGAGACTCATTCACCCGATTCTTGTTGCACTATGTCCATTTGATGCATCTAAAGATACAGAAGCTACGTTGTTATATTAATTGCTTTAAAATATGAATATTTTTCTAAAATATCTATATTCATATCATGCTCATGATTAATAGCTTGGGGCAGTGTATGTGTGCACACCTATTCGTCACTCGGAAGACAATGGTGAGAATTGATATTCCAATCAAAAACTTTTATTCGAAGGATACGTGGGAGTTGAAACATCAAGACTGAAAGCCAAATCAGCAACTACCAATACTCCGTACCTGCTTCACTCCGTGTAAAATATACCCTTCAAACCAAACTTGTAGAAGTTGTCGTTCCCACAGAAAGAAAAAGAAGCTGTAACAACGTTAAATAATAAGTAGTCCTCGACATCACATTCCCGCCCCCACGATTTAAACTTGATAGAAAAGTCACAGCAATGACAGCACGTAGGAAGCACCAGTAAAGAGTAAAAATGGACTGCATTTGACATGCTCAAATAATATGCATTCACCAAAAAAAATGATTACAGAGAGCAACTCAAAATCTTCCAATAGCAAATTGTCCTTCCCGTTTTTCCCAATCCTATCTATTTAAATTATAGTCACGTCGGAAAATACAATTGTCAATTGTTTCTCTTGATGACTACCCCACCTTCCATCAAATTCATTTCATCTGGACAATCCCAGCACTGATCAGCTTCTGAATCTTGTTCATCACCATTGGATTCTTTGTATGTTCCTGTGCAGCGCTGGGATTTTCCTGGAAATCAGTCAATACCTGCATATATGCCCAACTCTCGTTAGCACAGCTAGTTCCACTGTAACTGATACTTAGCAACACTAAATCAACAAGGAAACATACTTGTCTCATAATAGGGTCTTGGAGAATGCTCTGTATCTCTGGGTCTTGCATTGCCTTGGCCTGAAAAAACAAAAAATTAAATACACGCACACATGGATCGCCTAACTCAGGTGATTTAATCAATAGGCTTCAAAGAGTAGCAGTACGTAAGTCACACCTGTCTCTCCTTTAACTCCTCAGGAGTAAAATCTCCACGGCTAGCCTTATTAATTTGTTCAACACATCTGAAATGTATGATAATTAGGCTCTTGCATTATCATGGTGCATATGGAAAGTAGAAATATTCAATCCACAAATAGCAGGAATGTAGCACAATACCATACCTTTTAATACCATCAAGCAATTCTTGATTGTTAGGATCATGTTTCAACCCCTCCTTGTATGTTTCCATAGCTTTGTCATATTCTTTCATGAAAAATTGCACTGCACCTTTCCTAGTATAACCTTTTGAAAAGGTTGGATCAAGCTCAATGCATTTCTCGGCATCTTTTAAACCTTCAGGCATTGCCCCCAGTTTTGTATAGCATGCAGCTCTGTTACTGTAAGCCTAAAAGAAATGGGACATTTAAAACGGATCAGGATCTGCATTCTATATTAAAACACTAGGATTATTGCCACTATTAAAAGAGTATTATTACCTTGTGATCTTTAGGATTCCTCTTTATAGCTTCTGTATAATGCTTTATGGCCTCAGGATACTTCTGCTGCTTGAATAATTCATTTCCTGCATTTCAATGTTTCCAGTATTTATATAGTTAATAAGTTGAGAAGAGAAATACGAAACATATAGTCATCATCATACTTAGTTTAAGACTGCTTCTTTCAAAGGAGCAAAGATGCTTGCAAGAAAGAAATGAAAAACCCAAGATTGCAGAGAGATAATACCTTTTTCTCTCTCCTCATCAGCCAATTTTGGATCAAAATATTCTTCTTGTTCTAATTCTTTCTTAGCCTTTTCAGCTTCGTTCAGTTTTTTCAAGGTGTCTGGGTTGCGGTGCTCTGTAAGTGCTTTCTGGAAAGTCTCAATGGCAGGTTCATAATCCTTAGAGCATTTTGCCATTTTGACTAATGCAGTACCTTTCCTTGTCAAAGCTCTTGCTATCATTTTGTAGTCTGTTCTTAGTTCTCTTCCCTTTTCAACAGCTTTTTCACAATCTTTTATGCATTCCTCAAACTGGTAAAAAATAACGAAAGAAAAACCTCATCAATCAGATTGAGCATGAAACCAAAGTGCATGACCCACTGCCCACCCAAAAAAACGGAAGATTCATGAAGGGAATGTTTGACTCTCCTCTCACTTCATGGCTTTAAAATCAGTTTTCTAAACAATTCGACACTATTCAGCAATCAATTTCTCATCCAAAACCTATCACGTTTTGAGAATTATTTCTAAAACAAAAAATCAGAAACAGCTGGAAGATGCTTGCTTCTCATCTTCCCTTTTCATTTTGCTCAACCTCTCCTCCACCAACTGTGTGAGCAATCTTGATTAGTTGCATTTAGAAAACTAAAGCCAAATTTCGAAAATAGAAATTAAATACCCCAAGTTTCATATACAATTCCCCACTCTAACACACCAAGTACATAGAAAATGAAATAAAAACCCTGTTTAAATAAATACACAGGCACGCCATGATCAGAGTAAGACCAAAGTCCTAATCCAGCAAATAGGCTTCAACAAGAAAACTGCTCTGAACTAACAATGATATGTGTAGAGCCTGTTTGGATACCAATTTAAAAGAACTTTTGAAAGTTTCTCTACCGAAAATAAAAGAACCAGAGAAACTCTCAAAGACATTTATAACTTGTATCCAATAAGACTCATTATGAGATACAAAGACTGAAATCTAATCCAGATACATCAACTTTCCCTACCTCATCACCGAATCAATCCTCCACACATATCACCCTTCAATATCATTTTCATTAGTCACAAACAAAACGCATCCTGCATACATGGGGATAACCGCATACCCCATAAAGACAAAAAAAAAAAAAAAAAAAAAAACCCACAATTTTGTTAATAAGCGTTAAAAAAGCTTCAAGGCCTTCAACCCGCATCATTTTAGGATTTCAAAAGGCAAACTTTAACATGATCCTATGAAAGGCACTACATATAGCATACAACAGGCGCACACACATACCTTTCCCATCTCCAAATAAACAGCAGCACGATTAGTAAGGTACGATATATCCTCATCATCCAATTCCAAAGCCTTCGTGTAGTGGCCAATCGCCGTTTCGAAATCCTTCTTCTTGTAAGCAGCATTGCCAGATTCCTTCTCCTTCTGAGCGCGACCCTTCCTATCCCTCTTCTCCTTCTCCTCCTCCATCACTTCCGCGGCTTCAGGCTCGGGTTCGGGTTCAGGTTCAGGTCCAGGCCTGGACACAGACTCGGCCTCATCCTCCTCTGACACGGCAGCGTCGTCGCCGTTGGGGGTCTGAATCTTAACATTGAGCAAAACCCCAATGGCATGCATGACCCGTTGGTCGCTCAAGTGCAAGTTGAACTTGTTGGGGTCCTTCTGGATGTCCTGCATGATCTTCACGAAGTCGGGCTGCTGGAGGTAGGCCCGGGCCGTGGCGTCCGCGGTAAGGCGGGCCCACATGTCGGGGCCCGAGAAGGCGGTGGCGAAGGGGCTGGTGGGCGGAGGGCGGGTGGCGGCGGCCTGCGCGTCGGCTAGGCCGGCTTTGAGGGCGTCGTTGTTGGGGTCGATTTGGAGGCCGGCCTTGTAGGCGGAGACAGCGTCGCGGTGGTGGCCGAGGCCGAGGTGGGCGGCGCCGAGGCGGCTGTAGCCCTTGGGCCAGTCGGGCTTGAGCTCGACGGTTTTCTGGGCGTCGGATAAGGCTTCGGCGTAGTTTTGGAGGGAGGCATGGGCGGCGGATCGGTTGGAGTAGAGGACGTGGTTGGAGGGAGCGAGGGCGATGGCGTCCGAGAAGTGGCGGATGGCGGCAGCGAAGTCGCCGGCGGAGAACGCGGCGTTGCCTTTAGCTTTGGCTTCTTCGGCCATTGGGAGAGAGGAGGAGTGGACTATTGACTCTGCAATGCGAGGAGGGACTTTCTGGAATGTTCTTTTGGGATCACCACATTCGCCCTTTCCCTTTTTTGCCAATTCTTCTTTCACCTGTTATTAGTAACGTACACGTGAATTCCCTTTCCCGTAAAAATTTTCTCTGTTTTTTATTTTTATAAAATTAAATTAATATTTTTAGTTTTTAATAGTATGAAATTATTTTTAACTAATTTTATATTTATCTTATGGTCAAATAATTATATTTAGTAACATCTATAATTATATTTAATATCATGTTAATATAGAGTATTTTTTAAAAAAATATATAAATTTTTAAAATAAATATTATTTATCTATCTTAAATTAAATGTTAAAAATTAAAAATAAGTAGTTTAAGTTTTAGAAAGATGAAATGAAAACATATTATTAAAATTAAAAGAGTGTAATTAATATTTAAATATAAATAAAAATTAATGTAAAAAATATGAAATTAAAGTAATCAAAACAAATATTTCAAATTATAGTATTTGTTATGAAAAGAAATATAATAGTAGAGAAAATAAATAAGATAATATGAAAGAGAAAAAAGTATAATTGATATTTTTTTTAGG